ACTGGGGGCTGTCCGTCCTGCTCCCGGCGCTCTGGCCACTGGAGGCTCTCCGCCCTGCTCCCGGCGCTCTGGCCACTGGGGGCTCTCCGCCCTGCTCCCAGCACTCTGGCCGCCGGGGAGAGCGGAGAGGCCCAGCCGGGCTCGCCGCCCTGCTCCCGGCGCTCTCGGGGGGAGGGCGGCGGGTGGCTTTTCTGCCTAGGGCGGCAAAAAAGCCAGAGCCGTCCCTGTGTGTCATGTATGGAGCTGCAGTCACACTGATATTGATCTTGGTTAAGGACCCTAGATGAGATACAACTGTAGCGGATGGTAGTGACAGACCTTGTTTATCTGTCGATATAGGCATATAGATATTTTAATAAAACCCCAAACTATCATGACTTACGGTATGGGAACAGCAACAAATGAGGGGATTTTTGTTTATTTTGTTTTTGGTTGGTTGACTAGTTGAGGATTTTCTCCCATCTGTTCTCTCCGTCTCTATTTTCTCCTTCTCCTTTTCTAGACTCTTTAATATAAATAAAACAGTATTATGCTATTGTTTTACTTACTCAATGTAATTCCCATTACCCAGTTTTCCACATAGTATAGCTATGCATGCATTTTCGGTGTTAAAATAAAATTTTAATGGAAACAAATAAAGCGTCCCATCCATGCACACATCATTCAAAAATTAACAAGAAAGGGACTGACCTTGCTCCCACTAAAGTCAATAGCAGCCAAAGTCAACAATTTTAACAATTGTTATTTGGAACTCTTTGCCACTAGAGATTAGGGTTTGCAGATGTTTTTCTTTGTCATCAGAAATCAGTTTCCAGATGTTACAAGAAGTCTGTTCTAAAGAGCAACTATATTTGAACATAGGCCATAGTGCCTGGTTTCAAATATGCTCTTTTTTCCTAAACACAACCTTTTAACACCAAGCAGAGGATCTGCCACTGCCAATTTGGAAATCTCTCCATCTCAGAGCTAGGTCTGTTGCCCTTTTAAATTGAGTATTTTGTTTGTTTTTCTTAACTGAATATGGACTCAAAGAAGTTCATGTTCAAATATGATGTTCCTTCAGAAAAGGATTTTTTTTTAAAAGGCTGGGCTTAAAAATATTACCTCTTTGAATGCAAGCTTCAGACCATGCCTGGCCTGCCAACCTGGCAATCGGACTCACAGCAAATGGCTCATTTTTAAAGCAGTAGGTCTGCATAACATAAAAAATATTTATACATACTTGCATTGAAAAAATGCTCAAATTGATACAAAAAGACAGAAGGGGGGCAGAAAATAGGATAAAGACAAATGAGAGGATTTGATCAGGAACTGAAAAAGAAAAACGTGCAAGAGCGAGTAGGTGGGACTACTCAAGTAAGACTTAATTGGAAGGGGAAAGCTTCCCGGTTTCCCACAATAACTGTGAGAAGATGCTGTACCTCTCCTGCCTTGGCCATCACCTTTCATACTATGTTCCTGCCTAACATTTACAGTCAGCTGAGGCAGGTCTATAAGGAGGGCCTGATCCAAAGCCACTGAAACTACTTTGGATTTAGTCACTCGGTTCAGTAAGGACTGGGCCAGTACAGGACTTTCTCCATCAAGAATTCCCATGTAACAGAGGAGGTCTGCAGAATTCTAGTGCTGATTGCCTTTAGGGTATGCTGCAAATCCCACTTTCCTGGGTTCTATCTAGCGGTGCATTTGGGCGAGATGATTCTTTAAATAGTTTTATAGTTTATGCCCCATTCCTGCTAAAGTATATCTTTACTCACAAGAGTAGCCTTATTGAACATTATGGAGCTACTGACAGACTGAAGCTTGCAGGAGCATGCTTTTAGTTTGTATTCTTTCAAGCCTAGATACCTTTTCCTAAGACCTATGAATCAATTCCCTTTAAACTGTCAGTTCCCTGACTAAACAGTCAGTTATTTCCTAGTCAGGAATGTATTCTTCTTCTCTTTAATATATATGTCATGTGTTTTGCATTATTAATTTCTGGACTGGTTATGACGTACTATTTACCTCTACCTTCAGCTCCCAGACATCGGGGTGGCTTCCCACTTCCCTGAAACTGGAACTAAAGCTGCTCTGCCCCAGAGAGAAACCATGAGCGATGGTGGTAAATCCGTTGCCTGCCCTCCACGGTGCAGGGGGACAGTGATGGGGCATTGGAAGTGGGTGAGGTCTAACCCCAGGAAGGGGTGTTTGAGGCACAAAGTACCCCACTGAAGGGTGGAGGCGAGCTCTCGCCCTGCGGCGCATTAGGGGAGGAACTGCCTCCCTGAGGCGATTCTTACATGGCAGGGGGTGCTCTTTGGGCACAGGATCCCCACCGGGGGGTGCTGGGGAGGAGGACGTTTGAGGAGTGTGTCAGCGGGGTAGGGAACAGAGGGCAGTGCCAGGCGGCGGTGGATGGGGACAGTCATGCCACGCCAGGCCTCGCGTTTGGGGCCAATATTAGAGCGAAGCGGCGAGGGAAGTCCCGTTAGCGGCCTTAACGCAGAAGCGGGGGAAGCCCTGGCGGTGGGAGCGTTAACCGGCAGCACACGCAGTCATGCTCCCGCCCCCCAAGTGCGCAGCTGCGGCTCTCCAGCAGGGCTGAACCTGTGGCGGCGCGGCGCATGCGCGAGCCGGTGACGCATGAGCCGATGCTAGGACGCATGCTCGGTAGCTGGGAGGAAGTAGAAGCTAATTTTCTCCTGGCGCTGCCGGTCAGCACCGGGCGCTGCCGGTAGCGTGCGCCGGGCTCGTCTCCTCACTGCGAGAGACCTGCTCAGCCGCTCGACTCCGGCTGCCCCGCAGCTCCGGACCCTGCCCCCGCGACGTGCCCTGGTCTCGGGGGGGGGCTCGAGAACCCACCCAGCTCTTCCATTCCCGCCTGTAACGGTATAAGGGCCGGAGGGGCCGGCCGGTCTGGGGCAACGAGCTGCCTGTGCCTGGTTGGGGGCTCCCCTGTATGTGGGGGGGGACACACCAGTGCAGCCTCCGTGTGGATGGGGAGTGCCCCATGGCCAGCTCCCCGCGAGGGTGGGTGGGTTGAGGGGTCGCGTTGGAGAGTGAGCGCCCTTGGCCGCAAAGGGTGCCAGACACAGGTAAGATCCTCGCCTTGCGCGTGGTTTGCCGTCAGCACTTTGCAATATCGGCTATGGCGGCTGTTCTCCTAAAGCTGCTCCCTCTAGACCCAGGGGACGAAGGCACGCAAAGATGCAGGATGGGACCTGCCACGTTATCCACTCTGGGAGCCAGGCTCGGATCCCCCCTTAGGATCACAGTTCCTGGTGGCTGCTGTTTGTGCACCGCCTGGCCCAGAAATGATTTGGCTGATGGTTACCTGCAGCTTGATCTGAAATGTAAAACTTCAGGTTTAGCTGCAAGCAAGTTGAAAGGTCTCGTGCTGAGTGTCAGTCACTTGAAGCTTTTGGCCTGTCACGGGTTGAGAAAAGTAACAGTGAAAGTGGTCCTTAAGAACCTTGCCCTGAAAAAATCCACCCCAGAAGCAACACTACAGGAGATAGTCAAAGAGCTGATGAGAAATGTGTATGTTTCTCTTCACCATGTTGTTACTGCTGCCCCAATTCCTGGAAATCCAGTAGTGTGTGTTGAAATACTGGCTGTAGATGCTTCGACAGAACAAGCTGGCCTGATAGCTCCCAAAACTAATATAAACATTAAAGAAGTAGTCACTTTAGAATGGTACAGACACTTGTCAAAGGACACCGCAAAAATTTCAGCTGCAGGAATGGATGATTTGGGCAGCTCTTTGAAAGAGATGATTGTTTTGCCTTTCCATTTTCCCAAAACCTTCAAGAAGTTGGGTCTTTCTGTCCCTCGTGGAGTACTGTTGGTGGGCCCTCCAGGTGTGGGGAAGACTCTTCTCATAAAGGCAGTTGCAAGGGAAGTGGGGGCGTATTTGCTTTGCATCAGTGGTCCAGCTATATATGGCTCAAGGCCTGGAGAAAGTGAAGAGAATTTGCGAAGAGTTTTTGAACAAGGCAGGGAATTGTCCAGTGAAGGACCAACCATTCTCTTTATTGATGAAATTGACTCTTTGTGCCCTAAACGGGGAAGTTCAAACAGCATCCCTGAAAATCGTATTGTTGCTCAATTGTTAACTCTTATGGACGGCATAGGCAGTGAAAATGAGATGGTCGTCATGGCAGCAACAAACAGGCCCGATGCCTTAGATCCTGCACTGAGAAGACATGGTAGATTTGACCGAGAGGTGAGCATAGCCTGTTCCTCATGTTTTGTTTTTGACACTTTAATACCATTTGTCATATTTATATTGAAAAATCAGTGAAAAGGGGTCTAGTGGTATTGTTCTGCAGTGTCAAGTCAGCTGATCGGGTTTGATGCCCTATTTCTCACTATAAATCAGTGACCTACAAAGGAGAAGAAAAAGTTACCTTTTTGCTGCTTTATAATGACACTTGGAGGGTTTTTTCCCCATCTTGGTTTTTACATAATTGATTATAGGTTTATATACTAAATATGTACTTAAACTGATGTAAGGCACTTAACAGTACCACACAACATTTTGATTAAAAAACTAAAATCATACAAAATTCACATGGCACACATTAAATGGATTAAACTGGCTAACTGACAATTACATTATGAGACCTGTAAATGGGGAATCATGGTCGATCAGGTTTATTTCTAGGGGGGAATTTCACAGGGATTGGTTCACATCATCACTGATAAAATTTGCAGCTGACACAAAGATTGGGAGCATGATAAATAATGAAGAAGACAGATAATTGCTCTGGATCGCATGATAAGATGGAAACAAGCAAACAATATGAGGTTTCTTAATACAGCCAAATGTAAAATTATATATCTTGGAATAAAGAACATGGGCCATATTTACAGGATGGGGGACCCTATCTTGGGAAGCAGTGGCTGAAAAAGACTTGGGGGTCATGGTAGATAATCAGCTGAACACAAACTCCCAGTGTGACACTGGCCAAAAGGGTTTATGCAATCCTTTGACGTATAAATAGGAATATCGAGTATGAATAGGGAAGTTATTTCTGTATTTGGCCTGGTGCAACTGCTTGTGGAATACTGAAGTTCTGGTGTCCACAATTTAAGAAAGATGTTAATAATTTGGAAGGGGTTCAGAAAAGAGCCACTAGAATGATTAAAGGATTGGAAAATATGCCTTATAGTGAAAAAGTCCAGGAGCTCAATCTACTTCGTTTAAAAAAGTGAAGGTTAAGGGGTGATTGCCATCTATAAGTTTCTACATGGCACCAAAAAAAAAAAAGGCAGGGAGGGCTCTTCAGTCTAGGAGACAAGTGTATAACATGATCCAGTGTCTGGAAATTGACTTTCAAACTGAAGTAAGGCATACATTTTTAACTGTGAGGGTAATTTACCATTGACACAATTTATCAAGGGTTGTGGTGGATTCTCCCATCACTGAAAATTTTTGAATCAAGATTGGACGTTTTTCTGAATGAGCTGCTTCAGTTCAAACAGGGATTAATTCAGGTAAATCCTGTAAAAAGCCTGTGTTGTACAGGAGATTAGACTGGATTATCACAGTAGCTTTATAATCTGAATCTATACCCTACTTTTCCAGGAAGTCTCAATGGACACCTGCTGAATTAGTAGTCCTATTATATCAGATGTCATGCAAATGGAACCTGATTAACTGAGGCTAGACCTACATTCAAACTATTACAAAACTGATTGTAGTTGTGAATTATTTTAACAACATTTCTGTACTTGAAAAAACCAAAATACTTTTTCTGGTATTCATCATTTTGCTTGCTGAATTGGTGGTAGCTCTCTGCAAAAGCACTTTTTTGCTAGTATAAATTGTATCTACACTAGGAGTTGTACCAGCAAAACTTCTAGGGTAGACCTGGCTGCGAGAAATGAGCTGAGCTGGTGGTAGCAAGGGCAGACAGTATTAGCAATAATGTATTAAGATAGACAAGACTAACTTCTGACAGTGTGGCACCTTTCATAAGCACTAAATCTACTTCTAAAATGTAAAAGGAGTATATTCTAGGGACTCTTTGGACTGTGCAGAAATTGGTGATGTTCATGTCTAGTACAGGTAATTCTAAAATCTTCTAAGAACAGGTAGAACCATGCTAATTCACACACACACACTTTATAATTTACACACAAAATTAACACTTTTTGCCACTTTCATGAAAGATTGAATAGCAGAGTGCTGTAGTGAGAGCTCATTTTAGTTAATGTACTAACTTCATTATTTTTACAAAATATACCACCTTTGCTTGTGTTTTAGATCTATATCAGACATCAAATACTAACTTACAATTGTCAAAATAAATTGACAAAAAATACAGTCAGCAAAGTGATGCATCCTTGATTCCTTCATTATCTGCCTGTGTACTCACTAAAACCTTGAACCTGCAACAAACTCGATGCAAGGGTCTATTCCAAGATCATGGCCTAAAATCAGTAATTCACAAAGATTATCCCAGTCAGTTCAAATTTGATAAGTTCTTCCATACTGCATTCACACTTTTATCTAAATTTTCAGGATTTAACAGCATTATTAACTAGTGAAATACAGTTTTGATTGGTTATATTTTAGCAGGTTTTCAATAATTTATGCACATTCTCTACTCAGTTTTATTTTATACTTACAGGCTGGTTGGTCCTTTTTTGTGCAGTCATATTTTCTTTATTTATTCCGTGTGTTACTTAATTGTACAGAGATTAGCTTTATTTAACAGGCCATAGAGTAATCATTCTCCGTGGGTTTTTTTTATCTGATGTGTGTCTTGTACAGTTTTTAAATAGAAAAATATTATCAGTAGCCTCTTGTGTTCTAATGTTGCAAGGAAGTGATTATTTCACTATTAAATCTCCTTTTGATTAATCTTTCAAATATGACTTTAGATCAGGGGTCGGCAACGTTCAGCACGCGGCTCGCCAGGGTAAGCACCCTAGCGGGCCGGGCCAGTTTATTTACCTGCTGACACGGCAGGTTTGGCTGATCGCGGCCCCCACTGGCCGCAGTTCGCTGTCCCGGGCCAATGGGGGCGGTGGGAAGCCATGGCCAGCACATCCCTCGGCCCGCGCCGCTTCCTGCCACCCCCATTGGACTGGGACGGCGAACCGCAGCGAGTGGGGGCCGTGATCGGCCGAACCTGCCGCGTCAGCAGGTAAGTAAAACTGGCCCGGCCTGCTAGGGTGCTTACCCTGGCGAGCCGCGTGCCAAACGTTGCTGACCCCTGCTTTAGATACTAGGTGGCATTTTTTTGTAAAACATCTATTCGTTGAAGTGCTACTAACCTGGAAAATTAAATAAGTGTAAATGAAAAGTACATGTATCATGCTATATATTTTCAGAGTATTATAGAGCCATTAATTAGACCCTTGTGAAACAGTGTAAAAAGAGGAGAATTTGCATGAGGGTGTCTAAAATACGGACAACATAAGTGACTTATCTAGGGCTACAGAATGAGAGAGAAATATAACAAAACACTGATAAATTTCCATATATTGTATTTGTTTTAGGTTATCATTGGGACACCAACACTTAAACAGAGAAGGTCTATTCTACAGTTGATTACTTCTAATATGCCTATTTCCACTGATGTTGATTTGATCAACCTAGCAGAAATGACAACTGGATATGTTGGAGCTGATCTTACGGCACTCTGCAGAGAAGCTGCTATGCAGGCTGTCCTCCACAGCTGTTTGGTAAGGAATCAGATTAAACAAGAAAGATGGCTTTATTCACATTTATCACTTTTCCCCACTAATATCACTCTACTTTAATATATAAAATGAAAAATTCAGGGATGAGACTATTCAAAATAAGCTAGCAAGCGTGTTATAGATGTAATTATAAGCTTTGCTACGGTCTTTCAATCCAATCACCAAGTGACTGCCATCTCCTTGAGGGAAAAGGTGATGTGGAATATCTTTATTCTCTCCGTGAGCTTTTTAGTGTCGTACAAGGCAGAGAATATACATTTTTAATTGAAGAGCAAATTCTATACATTTTTTTCCACCTAAGGTCTCTCTTATAAGCTACAAGCAATTTATATAAAAATCTATTTCTTAGTAAGGTGAACCATGTAGTAGTTTGTGTTGTGGTTTGCACAAATAGAGACTTATTTTGTTTGTCTAATATTACATGACATATTGGCCTGAAGAGAACAGTTACAAATGCCCATGGTGCAGCATTTCTGGGATGTTGTAAATATAGATCTCAGGGAAGCATTATTTGTTAATCTTTCTTCCCCCTCAGTCAGGACTGCTAGGAGAAGGGGAGTAAAGGCTTCAGTTGCTCCCTTGTTCATCAAGGTGGAGTGGAGGGTCAGAAAAGAAGTCAAGGAGTGCTTCTGTGAGATCGAGATCCAGAATATCTCTGGAATCATAGAAACTATGGGAGATGCTGGTGCACTTTACTCTCCTCCCCGAGTGGTGATAACAGGGGAACATTTTATTTATAGAACCTCCAACGCCAAGAATCCTGTACAAAAATTTAAAATGATCATTAAAATAAAGTTGAGCCCAGTAGCCCTGACAGAAGCAGCCATTCTGTCAAAAGATGGTCAAAGGAAAAATAAACCAAATTGCTGGCCTCTGTGCTGTATACACTGACGACTCTTCTGCAAAGTGCAGCTTATTACATTTTATTATGAAATCTGTAGACTTCAGCAAACATGATATAGGGGGTAGCTTGCCAGGCTGCAGGAGACTCTCCACTGGAGGGAAGGAAGAAAGTCCAATAGCTCGCAGACAGTGGGGTTTTTAGCCTTGTGCTGAATTTCTCCACTATGCTATAGAGAATACAGTGTCCCTCAGATTCATGCTCTGCCTGTAGAGCTGTGTCTAGCCAGCGTTTCTCAAATGCGGCCACCAAGGGCTTTTCTTGTGGCCACCGCCTCCTGGACAGTGGTGTGGGACAGGGCAAAGCAGTGGCCTCTCCCCTGAGGCTGCCAGCAGGGATTGGGTCCTGCTCCCTTCTGGAGAGACAAATGCTGGAGTAGCAGGCTGCTAGTGAGTTCCCCACCTTCCCTGGGGTCCCATCCATTACCTCTTAGCCCCCCCATCCATTCTCCCCATTGCCTCGGGCTCCCACTGCCACTGTACCCACCTCCCCATCCAGGGCTTAATTTGTCCCTGGGCTTGCCAGCGCTGAGTAAGTCTTCTGCTGTGAAAAGTGATATCTGTATGTTTCAGAGGGGTAGCAGTGTTAGTCTGAATCTGTAAAAAGCAACAGAGGGTCCTGTGGTACCTTTAAGACTAACAGAAGTATTGGGAGCATAAGCTTTCATGGGTAAGAACCTCACTTCAGACGCAAGACTTCAGATGCTCCCAATACTTCTGTTAGTCTTAAAGGTGCCACAGGACCCTCTGTTGATCTGTATGTTTGTTAATATCACTTTTCACAGCAGTAGACTTACTAGCTAGCAAGTCTTTAAAAAAGCAACCCAAAACACACAATAAACAAGAACAAAAAAGACAAGAACATGCAAAGCACCTTATTTGTGTTTCTTTTCTGTTTAGTTCCAATAAAGAATGTATACTTGTCTCTATTATTTTTTATTATTGAGTCTGCAAAAAATCCCAACATAAATAAATTGGAATGATTTGGACATGTATATGTGCATATTTATCTGTCTTTCCTAAACTTAATTAGGAATTTTAGTTAAAATGTTAACAGCGGCCACCAGCAAGAGTTGGTGGCCGTACTCTGAGGCCACCAAAAAATTTGTTGTGAGACCCCCTGGCTATACTATCAAACTTGGTAACCCTAAGTCACCACTAGGTGGTAGCAGCAGTGGAAGCTACTAGTAATGTAGACAGGACTCATGTGGGGCATTTTTAGGTGACATGGTAGGAAACATCCGAGTCCTGCTTACCTTAAAGCATCTACCTCAGGTGTCATTTGAGGAACTGCATTGGTGGTGAATGATGGCTACAAAGTTTTCTAATGTAGACAAGAAGAATATGCAGAGCATTGAACAATACCAGGGATCAGCCTGGCCTTCGATGAAATTTAGCATGAACCGAGGATGAAAAATAGATCCATAATCTAAGATTTTTGCAAACCTGTATTCTGTAGAATGTTTGAGGTGAGGGGATATGTGATGATTGGGTCTACAAATTTACCCTAGTTATGAGCTTAACTCTAGAAAGTACATGAAAATTAATAAGAGACCACAGTAGCCTAAAACAACAAATGTTGATGGGAAAAGTTATGAATAGGAAACAGACTGAATTAGTCCAAACAAAAGGGCCTACTGATATAACGCAAGGACTGTATTAAGATCATGCCTGGTAAACAAGAGAAGTATGAAATCAGAAATCAACGGACCAAAACTCTTTTTTCAGAAAGTAGCCTAATTGGTGGACAAAATAATAAATGGATGGGCTGTTTTGCACACAATTTCCTTTGTGAGTCCTTAAAGAAAGAGACTTTGTGAGGAAAAAATTAGTTACTAGAACAAGCTCTACCATAATGGCTATCATCCCCATTGTTTCCTGGGACCCTGATCCGGGCCAGAGAGAGGGACCTATATGACATCACCACCTCTACCAGCTCCAGCTGAATCCCAAACACCATGTGGGATCCAACAGCAGCAGCTCCAGTCCATCTCAACTAACTTCTCTTTTTCCCAAAAGGACAGTTATTGCCATCTTTGATATCTAAAAGAATGTCAAAAAAGGGGATTCTCCGTCTGAAGACTTTCTCCAGCTAAAAGTAAAGGGAGCAAGAGACGCTGTTAAAATGATAGCCTTATGTAATATTTTACATTTCAAATGCTTTAACTGTTTTTCCTTTCTTTTATTAAAGGTTAAAAGGATTTTTAATGGAGTATGTGCCAGGGTACTAAACAGACTGAGGTCTCTGTATACCAAACCCCAGACTTTATTTAACACTGTTAAATGGGAGGGAGCTAGGAATCCTGTATGTAGTGGCCCTAAACCCTGGGTTTATCAACAGCTCCCCTCACTAGAGTCCCATATGGCAGAACTAGAGTAGATTCAGGAGAAAAGCAAAGATACTCTCTCAAACATCAGTTTCTTTCAAAAGTGTCCAGCCCTGTGCCGTAACAAAAAATGTATCCAGCCACAATGAATGCACACTATTTTGTTGGTATGTGTTTGTACTTGTGTCTGTCACATGTAAACTCTTTAAAATAGGGGTTCTCCTCTTTGTCAGTTACATTTGGCATATTGTAAAATGCTGTGGACATCTAATGTAGCTATATCAATTATTAATGATGCAAAGGAAGAAACAGTGCTTTCCTTTTTTATTTGTTCTTTGTGCATTTCTTCAGGATTCAGTTCGCACGTTGATTAACATGGCAGATTTCCGTGAAGCTTTTAAAAAGATTCAGCCATCTTCCTTTCGAAGCAGTGTTGGACTAACTGACTTTAAACCTGTTACCTGGGAACAAATTGGTGGTCTTGAAGACGTGAAATTAAAGTTAAAACAGGTAGAGTGCAGAACACATTTAAACAAAACTGTAATTTCTCTCATCTACCTCAAACTGTTCTATACACTGCAGAATGAAAAGTGTTCTTATGGGAATTGCATTGGTCTTTAATTCGTATTTAAAATGTTATTCCTAATTACTTAAAAATATTAAAGCACGTTTTTGTATTTTCTTAAATCAAACTAAAATTGCCTATACACAGGCTCTAGCACCTTGTGAGTAATTAAATTTACAATCTCAAAATATCACCCAGGAGCATACCATAGTAAATTAACACATCAGCCAGTAGAGGGCAGTTACTGCAGCAGCATATACCCATCTCATTCCAACTACCCTCCAGTCTATACATTTTGGCTATTTCAGACCAGAGGGGAAATGAGTTCCAGAGTCAACCAATGTGCCCTCTCCGAGAATGCCGTACCCACTGCCCTATCTCCTTTATAACAAAGAGGGTCAAATTGGAGTGTGTCCGTTGACCTCAACTGTGGTAATGCAGCAAGGTAAAGAGCAGTTTTGGGACCAGTAGTTTTATTGGCTAATGTGTGACTAGATACATCACTGCAAATGTTTCATCCTTTCTGTATTTACAGAGTATTGAGTGGCCTATGAAGTTTCCTCAGGCTTTTGTGAGGATGGGATTGTCTCAGCCAAAGGGTATTCTCCTATATGGGCCACCGGGATGTGCCAAAACCACTCTGGTGAAGGCTGTGGCCACAAGCTGCCATTGTTCCTTTCTTTCTGTTAGTGGTGCTGACCTTTTTTCACCTTATGTTGGAGATTCAGAGAAGATTTTGTCTCAGGTTTGGTTTTTAATCACATATGATGTATAATTTGCTTATTTTTGTATAAAGTATTCATCATTCCTATGTTTTGCTTTTTAAGACGTTAAGGCTTGATTCTCAACTGGTCTAAATGGATGCAGCTCAATTGACTTCAGAGGAGCTATTGCCATTTACATCTGCTGAGCATATGTCCCTAAATTATATTTCAAACTAATTTTCTTTAATCTACCTATTGTGTATGGCTTTTTGTTCTTTGGTTGACCTTAGTATTAAGTTAGACACCTAGAGTCTGCTAAACAGTCAATGTAAACCAGATTGGTCTCCGTTGAGTGTTGTAAATAAATATTTATTTAAAATGAATTAGTTAAGTAAAAGTATAGAAAATCTATAACAAGTGTTTTCAGTTGACATGGTGGAACTTATACATGCATTACAACATTCTACATTTATTTTATTAACCTAATAAAAGGTTTTTCGACAAGCAAGAGCACATACTCCAGCAATAATATTCCTGGATGAGATTGATTCTATCCTAGGATCTCGATCAGCCTGCAAAACTGGACATGGTGCCCCAGAGAAGGTTCTTTCTGTCCTTCTTAATGAACTAGATGGTGTTGGCATTAAAGTCACAGAGAGAAGAGGAAATAAATTACAACTTGAAGGTGATTGTCAAGAACAAAATGAAAAGGAGAGACAGGTATGTACACTCGCATATATAGGAAGAAGGTTCGTTTTTATTGCTAAAGTGCTCCAGAAGTTTAAACCATTGGCTTTCACAGATTAAAACATTACCTTTCTGCTGCCTTTGACAACTTCTTGATAGTATCCAGTATTTTCTTTTACATACAATATTGGAGATAGCTAACATACTCCTGCTATGCTGTTAAAATGGATTTCAAGGTGGTAGGGTTACATCTTCACCTCCATTCTGGCATACTGAAGAACCTTCCATCACCACCACAATTTTATTCTTACACATGCTTCATTCTTTTTTGTTTCCTTTATTTTCATCTGTAATTTTTTCTCTCCCTCAATTTTTGTGACACACCACCTGAGTACCTTTAAAACTTCTCCTTTACTCCCTCTGCATGTTAGAATATCATAATTCTGAATTCTTAGAGCAGCAGACTTTGTACATTATTAACCCCTTGTTATTTAGTTATCCTCTTTTGTTTCATTTGCTGATAACATATTTTCTGCCTTTTTCAGTAGGAGTCCTGTCTCTCTGAAATTTTCACTAGAGCATTTTAACAGCATTGTCTTCTTTTACTAACTTGCAACTGCTGTCCCCATGTAGTCTGCTTTTAACTACCTAAGCTGACCTTTATTCATTGCAAGTGATCTTAATTTTATTTAAATATTTATTTAAAACTATTCCTGATTACATTTAAGGAATTATGTCAATAACTAATAGTCACCTATTCCCCATTACTGGGTATATATTTCATCATTGTAAATTTCTGTGACTTCCCAGTTTATGGTTTCAGATTTATTGCTGCTATAATGAGCACACAATACATATTTTAATAAACTTTTTAGTACTTGTTGCCATTTTAAACAGTTATATAAACCCTTGAAAATGTTGTATGATACTGCAGTCTTACGTCTTCTGTGCACTCAATCCGACATGCACAATCTTGCTAGATTCTGACCACAAGAAAGTTCCATATGCATTACCAGAATGGATATTGATTCTTCTTTATTGTATTACATATTGGTATATTGACCTACACAAAGTAGGAACATTTGTAGTGAAAAGGAAAGTGACTACATATGGATATATGCATTTATTCTTTGTATTGCCTCTCTTTTTTTCTTCTCTTAGTTGACACTTATAAATTATACTTGTCCTGTAGCCCAAAGCATATAAAACACTGTATACCCATCTAATTTGCTGCATATATAATCTCATTCAGATAGCGTTTCAAGAAGTTTTGAACAAAGATGTCATGATAGTTGCTGCAACAAATAGACCAGACAAGTTGGATGATGCCTTGTTGCGCCCTGGAAGGTTAGACAAGATCATCTATATTCCACCTCCAGATCAGAAGGTAATGCATTATAAATCTGTACACAAATTTAAATAGAGGTGTGAAGTTGTAGGTATACTATTTCTTAACAACAACAAAAAGAGGCATAGTACTATAATGTATGTAAGTGTGTGTAGCTGTTTGCACTGAAGATTAACTACTAAATGTCTAGCTTTTAAAATAAATATGAAAGCAGCATGGATTATAAAATATCATTTAAATGTATATAAAAATGTATACCCTTCAGACACTTTGACCAAGGCACAGGCATTTCTGGCATTTCCTGACTTTTGAATGCTTGATGATGATATATTTGCAAAATCAAGCATTCAGAAGTTAGGAAATGCCAGAATTGCCTGTGCTTAGGTCAGTTTATATTACAGTAACTCTTCACTTAAAGTTGTCCCGGTTAATGTTTTTATGTTGCTGATCAATTAGAAAACATGCTTGTTTAAAGTTGCGCAATGCTCCATTATAATGTTGTTTGGTAGCCGCCTGCTTTGTCCACTGCTTGCAGAAAGAGCAGCCTCTTGGAGCTGGTGGGGGCTTGGAACCAGTGTGGACAGGCAACCGCGCTATCAGCTCCCCTAAGTTCGCTGTGCACAATTACCAGGCAGTTCAGGTGTCCCTCCCCCCACTGCCATGTGCTGCTCTTGCCCTCTGCCTTGGAGCTGCTCCCTGGAGCTGTGTAAGGGCGGGGAGAGGGAAGAAAAGTGCTAATGTCAGGGTGTCCCCTGCTCCTGTACCCCCATCCCCACAGAGCAGGGGGGACACCACAGGGCTCAGGACAGAGGGAGCTTGCTGGCAGCAGCTGCTGTCTCAACTTGCTTATCTACCTAAAAAGGCAGTGTACTTACAGTGGGGTCAGTGTATTTAAAGGGGTAATGCACCTCTCTCTCTCTCTCTCTCTCTCTCTCTCTCTCTCTCTCTGAGACAC